TGATCCCAGGACCCCGGGATCATGACCTGAGCCAAAGGCAGATGCTTAACTGACTGAGACACCCTGATGCCCCTGTACTTAATAATTTTTTTTTATAGGATTTTATGTGTTACACCAGGAAGGACCATACTTTTATGTACAGAAGAGAACATACTGAATTTCACAGTCCCTGTAATAAAATTGTTTAAGAAGGTAGGTGTGCTGTTTGCAGTAGACTCAAGTCCATATATGTTAGGTCCATGATTAGGAGAAATCACAGAACTGAGGTGAAGGTGAGTGCCATACTGGTACTATATTCTGTAAGATGCCCAAATAATTTGCTGGTCTTGATTTAGTCTTCTTAAAAATTGGGGCAATATTACAATAAGCTTATGTCTATCTATTTTATTTTATTTTTTTAAAAAGATTTTTATTTATTCATGAGAGAGAGGGATCGAGAGAGAGAAAGAGAGAGGCAGAGGAAGAAACAGGCTCCCTGCTGAACAGGGAGCCCAATGTGGGGCTCGATCCCAGGACCCCGGGATCATGACCTGAGCCAAAGGCAGATGCTTAACCATCTGAGCCACCCAGGTGCCCCAGCTTATGTCTATCTAAAGGAAACACTGAAGTTTAGGATCAGTGGCTTCTTCAATAGATAGAAAAATAGCTTTGTTTCCATTTAAAAGCAAAACAGCAAAATACTGTAGTGGATGATATGACAGAAGTGCTGCTCCGGAACATGACTGTGGATGATCTCAGTAGATGAGTTAATGAAACTCATGGAGTTTCAGGAGACATGGGGTTAGTTAATAATGACATTCAGAACAAAGGTTGAGGCAAACAACTGGTGCGAGTGGTCAGTGAAACCATGAATGCAACATTCCAGACAAATGGAAGAAGTAGGTCGGGCAGGATTCACGGATTTAGAGCCATGGGTAATTCAGCACTTTGGACAGTTCCCAAAGACAAGGCTTCCTTCCAGGCACTTAGAGTACTTATCCTTTAGATTACCAGATCAACTCACTTATTTAGACCTCTTCGTGTCTCACTCATACCTGCATGTGATCTTAATCCGAAAGGAATTATCTGCATTTAACAGAGCTCTGTGGTCTGTGTTTCATATGAAGCCTACACCTTCAGTCCTGACATAACGGTTCATACCGTCTGTTACTTGATTTTACGTCAGGCTCACCACTGGGCTTTGTTCTATTAACTTAATTTTAAACTTGACTCAATATGAAAAGGTAAGGATGGGATCATCCAAGTCATGAAAAAGAGGCTGTTTACCAAGATCCATCAGAACCACGTCCATTGGGCCATATGCATGGCAAGGGCACTCAGCAGCTGTTGTATAGCAGACTGAAATGAGGTGTTAGACTGAGCGAGGAGTTGGTGCTGCAGAGAAGAGACTTTAAGAATCTGCTAAAACTCTGCCTAGGATCATGTGGAATAACTGTAGATAGTAACTCAAGCACACTAAGGCCTTCCTTGCAGCCTCAGGTAAGTAAAAGAATTGCTCTTTTGGAGCAAGTAATTTGAGCCAATTTCTAAGAGGCAGATCAGCAATTCAGGACAGTCCATTTTGTTTCTAGTCAAGGGACAAACTGCATTTTATTTACATATATTCACCAAGATTAAACTTAGAATTATTGACAGTGAGACTAAAATGCATACATATGAGAAATACTTAAAAGAATATATTCTTCCTCTTAACTACTTTTCAGGTAGGTGTCTCCTATTCTGAAACTGGTGGGGATGAATACTATAAGACTGGTTTTCTCAATGATGGACATCTTAACTAGACATTTTATAGAGAACTTCCTTGATCTTTGTTAATAAAAAAAAATGAATGGGTTCCCAGTTCCTGACAAGAAATGCACAAGTTAGGTTGCTAAGTATTTATGAGAAAGAAGAAGCAGGGGCTGTCTCCCTACCTCCATTTCCATCAGCAGTCTTGATGTTCTGGTGTGTGGGTTGGAATCAGTCTTAAGGACCCAACATAGTTAACAGGTCTATAACCTTAACACTGAGAGTAACTCAATTTCTTATTTTCTTTAGTGGACTTGCAGTTATCAAAGATGAATTTTTTAGTCTGGCTGAGGGCTGTAGAGAACTGAGAAGACATGCGAATGTTCTAGCAAGGAGGAGGGGATGGAGCAATGGCCCAAACACTGCAGAAGGAGGAATATATAACATAGAAAAACCAGGACTTTACTGAAGAAATCTTATGAGAGATTGATATCATGAAAGTTTGGCAAATATAAAAGCTCTCAGGTCTTTCTTTGTCTAGGTGAGTAGCACATGATTGTTATTCTATATATTCTGAAAGCATCAACTGCAGAAAAGGCATTCCTCGGGTTTCCTTGACAAGTAACACACTAAGTGGTAACCCTGAGCATAGAGCTTATGACCAATCTGAAGGAATAATAGTGATTTTCATTAGAATGTCAATTCTACTGGTTCCTCAGCTGTAATTGTAGAAAAATCCAAAGATCCCGAGATTTGAGAATGCTCCCTAGATGTCTGCCTAAATGGTTATTTGATCTGAAAAAGGAGTATCTTATTCATCCAAGCACACCATGTGTATTTGCAAACAATGGTATTGATTCCCCAAAGTCATATATATAAATCAGCCTTATTAGTCAATGATCAGTTCTATGGACATGGAGGCAATTAACAAGCTGGCACCAAACTTTAGGAAACTAAACTCCCAATACTGAAAAGATGTCTAAAGAAGATTCAGGACAAACCACCCTGGCTCACAAAACTTGGCTACGTTTATACAGTTTCGAGATAGTTCCCTCAAAATTTAACTGGAACCTAAAATTTAAGTAAGACTATATTTTTTAAATATTGTTATTAAATTTCATGGCATCTAGTTTATCATGAGAACAGTGGAGATTTAACATGAACACTTGGCTTAATTTCTTCACCTTCTATACAGTTAACACAGTCTTTATTTTTACAAAAAAAAGAGAAAAGGTCATATTATTAATCATATTACTCTTGGAATGCTCCTTATGTTAAGCCACTGGTTCTTTGTGACATAAATATAATATTTAATAAGGTAATTAAATACAATGCATTATTATTGGCAGACATGCAAACTAATGAATGCCACTAAATAATGTCACAAAGCCTGCTGGAAAATATACTACAAAATTTATTGTTCATTTACTCTGACTTCTTTGATATGAGTATTTTCTATGATTTATACAGATAGTTATTTTTCATATAGTGTAAGCCCGGTTATATGACCAACACAGCTTTTGTATTGAAAATATTTTTTCCCTCTTTTTTTAGACTTAGAGAGAGAGAGAGAGCATGAGCAGAGGGAGCAGAGGGGGAGAAAGAGGGAGAGAGAGAATCTCAAGCAGATTCCCCACATGGGGCTCGATCTCATGACCCTAAGATCATGACCTGAGCTAAGATCAAGAGTTGGACATTAACAAAATGAGCCACTCAGGTGCTCCTGTATTTAAAATATTTATTTTTATTTTTATTTTTATTTTTTTAAAGATTTTATTTATTTATTTGACAGAGAGAGACACAGTGAGAGAAGGAACACAAGCAGCAGGGGTGGGAGAGGGAGAGGCAGGCTTCCCGCCAAGCCGGGAGCCTGATGCGGGGCTCCATCCCAGGACCCTGGGATCATGACCTGAGCCGAAGGCAGACGCTTAACGACTGAGCCACCCAGGCACCCCTAAAATATTTTCAATCAACTTCCACTATTATTCATTTTTGACAGTATGAACAAGAAACAATACTCATGTGTAAAGCCATTTTCTTTTCCTGGGTATTTTTGCTAATTTCTTGTAAATGTGGCAATAAGCAAGTAAATATCTTAGCCATAAAATAGGCATATGTCTCAGCCTAAATTACCTTAGGAGTGTGCAAAGTAAAAGAAGAGATTTTAATACTTCTAGCCACTTTAAAATATTAAGTTCTTAAATAACTATAGTCCACTGGGCATCCACAAGTAAATGAAGGGGGAAGTGGATGGCCAAACTGATACCAAACCCAACTTATCCGCTGATGGTAGACCTCAGGTATTTTACACACTAAGCAGCAATGTATATATTATTAGTTTTGTTTTTAGTATCACTCACTATTAATTATAGTACAGTCAACTAGATTCATCTTTCAAGTTAATAACAAATATACAAATATAGTTCACACATACGATAACTGTGAAATAGGAATTAAAATAGTGTTGTCGACCGTTTTTTTAGTCATATCATTTTAAAGTTTCTTTATGCATACACAGATACATAATTTCATTAGACATACACTATATGCATGTAGATGTCACTTAAAGGTAGAAATGTGATCATATCAACATGTTATTTATATTTTTCAATGCTACCATTCCCCATTTACAGCTAATTCTACTGAGGTTCAGAGACACTAACTGGGTTATTTAGTATTTACAGTGGTTAAGTAATAAAGCCAGATTTGGAACTGAGAGAGATTCTGGCTCATGTTACAGTGCTCTTTCCACTGAAACATACTTCCCGCATTCAAGTTTTCAGTGTCATTTACTGTTCATTTTTGACTCGGGTACACAAGGAGACTTGCTATTAGACCAGAGCTTTGGAGAGCATGCAGAGATCATATCTTCCTACTTCATCATTTTGCATGGGAGGCAAGTGAGGGCCAGTGAAGTGAAGAAACTGAGAAAAACCACACAGAGATAATGACAGGACTGGAACTCAAGCCCTGAGATGCTCCAGAGATGAAGATAATTTATTTGGAAGATCACACACAGTTTAGCCTCAGGATGCCATCCAAGCCTACTTCAGGGGATATATACATATCTCTTGGCATCTGAAGAGTAGAGTTAATCCAGATGTAGCTTAACTTTTTTTTTTTTTAAGCAAATATGTTTCTGAAATGACCTCATTAAAGCTCTCAACCCAAACACAGTAGCATATTGGTAATCTGGTGTCTTAATGCATCTCAATCAAAGGAGAAAAATGTGATGCAACAAGGAATACATTTAGCAGTAGAGCTGTGCTTACCTTCATAAGTCCCACTTTCTAGGAGAGCACCACTTTTCTCCAATTCCATAAAATCTTCAACGGTGATGAAAATATAGTCTACTCCAGGGACCTCACCCTCCTTATGTGGCCTTGTGGTGCCTGAATAAGGAAAATTTAAAAACAAAAGAAAGACTCTAAGTGATTTGTTGTTGAACTTTAGAAATACCACCATACTTCTGAATATTCAATAACACTTGTTTGTACATCCTGCGAGTTGGCAGTTTGCATTTGTCCTTCTGTTTGTTTGGAAACAGAAAATAACAGGGGTTAAAGATTAAAGTAAGTATACAAAGCATTTTTCTTCAACAAGCTTATAAAGAGTTCATTGCCATGGAATGTGGTTGCATAGATTTTTTCCAGTGAAAAATGCAGACCGTTGTGCCTTTTTTGAAGGGGCGTTTTGAATACTGGGCCAGGAGTCTGCTAGCTCAGGAATTTACATATCTCACTTCTATGAATGAACCTTTATTGTTCTGTAGATTGCCTTGCTATGACATAAAATACAACGGAAAAGAGAAATGTTAGCAGCATGTCGATTTATCTTTATATTTTCATGATCTGCTCTTTTGTGAGGGTACTTTTGGTTTTCATTTGTTAATTTGCACCAAAAAATAACTTATATTTGATTTAAAGGAACACAAAATCATTATTATTACTTAAATTAATTAAATAGTTGGAATTGGTGATAATTGAGGTAGTATTATAATGCTAGTAATAGTTTCCTTCCTTCCTTCCTGCTTGCCTGTCTGCCTGCTTTCCTTCTTCCCTCCCTCCCTTCCTTCCTTCCTTCCTTCCTTCCTTCCTTCCTTTCCTCCTTCCCTCCCTCCCTCCTTCCTTCCTTTCTTCCTTCCTTCTTGCCTTTAGTTCTGATTGGATTGGGAAGTGACATGCTCCAAGGAGTCGCTTCATGGGTCCACCACTCCTGTTTCCTATAGAATGAATGGAGCTTCTGGGGTCAAAGTGACAGAAACATCCACCTATGGCTCAGTGCAGCTGTACTGGAGAACTCAAGCTTCCAGACCTGCTGTCCAGTGCATGAGGCAGGAATGAAAATAGAGACATAGTAAAGGCTGTAGGTTTGTTTTCTGGTGCACTTCCTTCTCTGAACATCCTTAAGTTCTTTTCTTTTTTCTGTGCTACCTAAATAAAACATTTTGTATGATCAGGTTGCAATTTCCATAATCCATAATATGCAAATAGTTTACAGAAATACACAGAGGACAAATATAGAAGCAAGTATTAGTACACTGGCAGGCTTCTTCATATTTAAAATTTCCTCCATATTCTCTGTATACTAAAGAAATATTTTAAACCCTTACATTTAATTTTCAGTCTATGAAATCTTTATGAACAAGGCCATGAAAATAGCCAGTCAGCTCTTCTTTTGGTCTATTAGGATCAAATCTGAGCTGCAAATGAAAGGCATAAACTCATGTCAGAACATACAATGTGTGAGGGAAATTGATTTTTGATAAAAATGAATAATTTCCATTGAAAACATTTTTTGAAAAGATTTGAAGGCATTATTTCCTAAAATTAAATTTTATAACCCTTCTTTGGAGGTTGCAAAACAATTTTTTCCATAATCACACTTAATGACTTTCCCCTAAATTTGTTATTCCATTTTGTTCAGCTGAGCCACATTTTGCAATATTTCCTACTGCTTTTATGCTATAAAATATAAACCTCCCACACCTAGTATGCATAATTTTGTCAAATTAATGTTTCTATGAGAACCTTAACTTTCAATATCCTGACTTTTATATGCTTAACCCTTGTGAATTAAAAGCACATTAACATAGTTTTTGGTAATCAATTTGTTTTTCTGTTTATTTAGAACACACTCTAATCATTAAGAAAAATCACATAACAAAGATTCAATTTTCCTTCCTAATTTATCTGCATATTTCAGAAGCTACACACTTTGATTAATTAACTGCTTGCAGCATGGTAATGCATTCTTAGCACAATGTGAGCATAAGACCACATGCTTGAAGGTAATTTCCAGGTCTGCTTCTTGACTGGAGTTGCTTGCCTGTGTCAAACTCTAGTGAATGTGTTTGTGGTTGTGATTTTTAGGGAGGACCATCAGTACTCTGGTTCACTGGGTAGGTTTTCCATCTCTACATTGCACCTGAGGATAATGTGACTGAGCTCTTGCCTTGGGGATACAGACTCCCAACGGCTACATCAGTGTCACCTGTTGCCATGGACCTGCTTGACACTGGCTGCTTATTTGGACTGGGGGCTCACCTACCTCATTATGCCTTGAAGAAATTCTACACTATAATCCCAAATGCTGTAATTCCCATCTTTGACATCCATCTCACATCCTCTTTTTTCATTCTCTTCTTCTTTATAATTATAACCCCCAGTCTCTTGATCTCTTCTAATTTCCCTGGTGTTCCCCAAATATGGCTTCATTTGGCTCCCTAAATTCTAAAGGGCTGGAAACAACCTAGAATCTTGTCTCTCCTTTGGTTCACCTTCACCATTTCCCAACTCTTAATAAGCTCCCAAGTTCACTATTGGATATTTCGTTCATAGACTGCAGTTGCTACAGAAAACCATGAGCATACACTAACAAAGCACCCTACAAATTCAGGTTATCCAATATCAGTTGGATACTACTGATGCTTGGCAATCTTTTTATACATCTTCCCTCTCTGTGACAATCTCACCATTTTCTAATATTCAACTGCTTTGACTTTCAGCAGAAGATATTAGCTCATTTTCTTTTTGGTAAATTAAGAGATAATCTGAAGTCAAATTCCCTGAAGTTTCTTAATTTGTACTTTCCTTTTCTGCATTATCTTCACCCTTAATTGGAATCATCCATCTATCTTGCTAAGATGAATCCTTTCTCTTCTGCCTTCTTGCAGTTCAGTTGATTTTTTCTTTTCTTAAATCAGAGTTAAATATACAGATATTTTGAAGATTCTACCATTCTACAGAGTTCAGTGTTTAAATAAAAACGTACTGTCATCACTACTCCCCATACCTTTCCTTATTTAAACTCTTTTAGCTGATTCTTTTACTTCCATACATTTAAAATTTATTTATGATGTCCCTTGTTTCCGTTTGTTTGTTTACTTTATTATTTCCTGATTTCTTAGTAAAGCAAAGTGAGGATTTAGCTCTTTTTTGCCCACACTTCTACACATCACTTCCTCCTTCTTACCTCCTCCCATTCTCCCAATAGAACAAACTTGTGTTTAGGTTACTATTTAATGTTTACAATAATAATACTAGGTAAATCTATTTCCAGCTGAATCTTGTAGTGTACTAATTTTCCTTTCCTGCATAAGTTTCATTTACTCTAGATTTAATGTTTCCATTTCCAATTTTCCATATATTAATAGATAATTCAATTAATTAACTCCCTCCTTGTTGGATAAACACACAAGCATATCTGATATTTCATCATGTTTATCGTATTGAAGAAATCACTCCTGGAGCTTCTAACCTGCTCCAATCCAGACTATGTTGTCATACGACACAGCTGCCATCCTGGGATCATCTTTCACCATCATCTTGGGCATTCACTTTGCCTCTTCTATGTTGTACTGCTCTCTCCCAGGTCCCATGTCTCTTTTTGTGGCCTAGTTCCTCATTTTGGCAGAGCACATCTGTCAGAAGCTTTCTATCAAAGGTTGCATAGGAGCTACATTTTTTGAGACTTTGCATGTCTGAAAAAGAGTTTATTCCATCCTCATGGGTGACAAATCTGACTCAGCATTTCAGGAAAATATCATAATGAAAACATACTTTCTCTACACTGTTCCTCTGTTAATGTCACCACCATCCTTCTAGCCTTGCATGCTTTGAATCTTGCCCTCAGAGAGGTTTAGCTGGAAATAGATTTACATAGTATTATACCATCCCATGTTTTTAAAAAGGGAAGTGGAAGCATGGTGTAGCAGAAAGGTTTTCAAAGTTGGAATTCAGAACATTTGCATTCTATTTTTGTTTTAATAATTTAGATATGTTGTCCTGGATTAAAATATCATTTCGGTTTATTTATATATTTATTTTTATGTAATCTCTACACCCAAGGTGGGGCTCAAACTCATGACCCTGAGATCAAGAGTCACATGCTCTTCTGACTGAGCCGGCCAAGCACCCCGACATACGGATGGCCAATAGACACATGGAAAGATGATCAACATCACTCATCATCAGGGAAATATGAATCAAAACTACAATGAGATATCACCTCATACCTGTCAGAATGGCTAAAATTAACAACACAGGAAACAACAGATGTTGGCGAGGATGCAGAAAAAGGGGAACCCTCTTGCCCTGTTGGTGGGAATGCAAACTGGTGCAGCCACTCTGGAAAACAGTATGGAGGTTCCTCAAGAAATTAATGATAGAGCTATCCTATGACCCAGCAATTGTACTACGAGGTATTTACCCAAAGAATACAAAAGTAATTCAAAGGGTTACATGCATCCCAATATTTATAGCAGCATTATCTACAATAGCCAATTACGGAAATAGCCCAAGCGTCCATCGATTGATGAATGAATAAAGAAGATGTAGTACACACATATACAATGGAATATTCCTTAGCCATAAAAAAAAACACACCAAAATCTTGCCATTTGCAATGACAGGAATGGAGCTAGAGAGTATTATGCTAAGCAAAATAAGTCAGAGCAAGATAAATACCATATGATTTCAGTCTTACGTGGAATTTAAGAAACATAAAAACAAATGAGCAAAAGGAAAAAAAAAGAGAGAGGCTAACCAAGAAACAGACTCTTAACTATAGGGAACAAAACTAATGGTTACCAGAGGGGAGGTGGGTGGGAGGATGGGTAAAATAAGCAATGGGGATTAAAGAGTGCACCTGTCGTGATGAGCACGGGATACTGTGGAAGTGTTGAATCACTATATTGCACACCTGAAACTAATATTACACTGTATGCTAACTAACTGGAATTAAAATAAATTTTTTTTAAATTAAAAAAATAGAACATCATTTAGTTGACCATCAGTTGTCATTTGCAATGAGGTAAATAATACATATGAAAGGGTATTAGAAAAAGTAAAAACACGAACATTATGGTAACATGATTGCATTCCTTTTTAGT